ATTAAACTAATAAATTTTTTAATTTGGATACTTGAGAAATCAAAGTTCATGCTCATTTGTAGTTGTAAACATATTAGTCTTATTTATAAAGGTTTTGAACTATTATCTAAAATTTCCTATCTTATGTAGACGTTGTACATATGTTTTTTCTTTATTGATTGAGTTAAAGACATCCGTTTTCAAATTTTTAAATTGCAAAATGTGTGGAAAAAAATTTGTATTTTTATTATAAATATATTTTATGTAATAATATAAATTTAAAACAAATAAGAGTATATAAATATATTGAACATATATTCAGTTTATTAGAGAGGTCTTAGGAAATTTTTTGATGTAATAAATATTTGTTTCCAATTTTGCGATTTGCTTATGATTTAATTACAAAATTTACTTTTAAGTTTTGTTATTTATTCAAATGACAAGGGTTTGATTTTGTAATTATTAAAAAATAAAAGGTTATAAGCCAAAATAGATTTTAGTTCAAAATGTACTTCAAAAATGTTAAGATAGATAGTTTCTAGTACATCCGCTGCAAATTGGGTATTTGTTACTTTCATGCACCAACTTTATTAGTAATGTAGCCTAACTAATCTCAAAAGCTAGCTCAAGGGAGAAGGATTGCCACATCCTATATATATTACCCAAAAATCTTTCTCGAAAGCAACGTGGGACTTTGGAACTCTAATAAACTTATTTAAGAAGAAATAAAAGCAGCATATACGCTTTTTTTTGTCATCTAAAACGCCATAGGTTAAGCTTTCGGGAAGATACTCTCCTCTAGGCCGGAGAGCCAATCGGGAATGATGTGCTTGCATGGGAGAATAAACAGCCTCGAGCTCTTGCTTTATTTTCGAGGAAATCGGCTCGGATGTTGTGCCGACGGGGAAGATGTCGGATGGAGAAGGCGGGGAATGCGGATCGAAGTCCCTTGAAAGTTTCCAGCTCTGCTGCAAAGGTGGGCCAATCTTGGGTGTTATCAATCATCTTAATAATATCAACACATTTAGAAGCAAAACTGAAATGAGTTTGGTCCAGTGAGATCAGGCACTCCATCGCCCAAAGAAGAGAGTCCAACCCTGCATGGAGAGGGGAAACTCCACGTCTGCTACACCTCATACCTAAAAAGGGAGGGGATCTTGGGGAGTCCAGAGACCATCCAAGCCCACTGAGAGGGTCGGATGCGCTCAAGGAAGCATCACATTGGCATTCAGAGAGCGACAAAAGGTTATTACTCGGAGTTACACCTTGAACAGCGGAAACCTCTGGCTCCTCATTGTCAATATTTGCTTCCATAGAACGGCACCAAACTTCCTCTTCATGAAGTGCTAATTGAAGTGTTTCATCTGGCGGGACACGAATATTCTCATAGATAAAACGGTTACGGGCTTTCCAAATAAACCAAATGATCCATGGAAAGGTCCGTAACAATTTCGCATCTATTTGACGTCCTTGACCTCTCTAGAAGAGAATACCAAAATTATAGAATAGAGAGTGGCGGGGGAAAAGCACTACAAGAAAAACAGCGATTTCTTACGGGCCGTTGCGTGAAAAAATGGAAGGAAACAGCCGTTTCTTTCGCTATTCCTACGAGAAAAATGGTAGGAAATCGCCCGTAGGAAATCGTAGTTGGTAAGATATTGGTAGGAAAATTTCCTACCAAAACCGCACGGAAGGAACATTTGTAGGTATTTTCGTAGGAAATGCGAAGGGTATTTTTGACCGTTTTCCTTCCAATAAAGCGTAGGAAACCGTTTCCTTCTAATTTCCTACCAAATAATTTCCTTCAATTTTCCTACAAATAATGCGTTCATTCAAGTTTCCTTCCAAACTTTTCAATCCAATTTCCTACCACAGTTTCATTCTATTTTCCTACAAATAACATACATCCATTAATTAATTAATTTCGATTCACTATTTAAATCAATCAATTTTGATCTTTAAAATTGTCAAAAAAAAGAAAAATCCAATTGCTGAAAAAATATAATTTATTAATTCATTCTCAAATGTGATACAATCAGTATTTATAACTTTTTAACAACATTATAAAACATTTATGGTTGTGTTGCATCGTCTTCATCATCAACGCTCAGGGTTACCGAATAAGGATGAAGAGCTTGTTGCATTCCATGAGGTATTTGATCTAAGCATCTTTCTCCAATTCATGTGCCTTCAATGTTTGAATCTCTTCTTGTTAATAACTTCACCACTGATACATGGTATTCAAAATGAAAAATTATGAAACATTAGTATGTATTAAGCATGTTATTTAGTTATCAAAACCATATGTATGACACATTACGAACTGTTTTAGTTATCAAAACCAAATGGCCATAAAAAAGAAACAGAAAAGAAGGTGCTACTTACCTCAGAGAAGACTCACCAAATATCAATCTGAAAGCAAAAATCAATAGTCAATGAATATTGTGAGATTACTTAGAAATTCATAGGAAACAACCATATCAAAACAGATTGTAAGATGCCTTAAACTAAAAGTTGACGAACTTAGAAAAAGATATATTACCCAAAAATCTTTCTCGAAAGCAACGTGGGACTTTGGAACTCTAATAAACTTAATTAAGAAGAAATAAAAGCAGCATATACGCTTTTTTTTGTCATCTAAAACGCCATAGGTTAAGCTTTCGGGAAGATACTCTCCTCTAGGCCGGAGAGCCAATCGGGAATGATGTGCTTGCATGGGAGAATAAACAGCCTCGAGCTCTTGCTTTATTTTCGAGGAAATCGGCTCGGATGTTGTGCCGACGGGGAAGATGTCGGATGGAGAAGGCGGGGAATGCGGATCGAAGTCCCTTGAAAGTTTCCAGCTCTGCTGCAAAGGTGGGCCAATCTTGGGTGTTATCAATCATCTTAATAATATCAACACATTTAGAAGCAAAACTGAAATGAGTTTGGTCCAGTGAGATCAGGCACTCCATCGCCCAAAGAAGAGAGTCCAACCCTGCATGGAGAGGGGAAACTGCACGTCTGCTACACCTCATACCTAAAAAGGGAGGGGATCTTGGGGAGTCCAGAGACCATCCAAGCCCACTGAGAGGGTCGGATGCGCTCAAGGAAGCATCACATTGGCATTCAGAGAGCGACAAAAGGTTATTACTCGGAGTTACACCTTGAACAGCGGAAACCTCTGGCTCCTCATTGTCAATATTTGCTTCCATAGAACGGCACCAAACTTCCTCTTCATGAAGTGCTAATTGAAGTGTTTCATCTGGCGGGACACGAATATTCTCATAGATAAAACGGTTACGAGCTTTCCAAATAAACCAAATGATCCATGGAAAGGTCCGTAACGATTCCGCATCTATTTGACGTCCTTGACCTCTCTAGAAGAGAATACCAAAATTATAGAATAGAGAGTGGCGGGGGAAAAGGTTCCCCGAGGATGGGATAGGAGAAAGGGCTCAGACTTGTCTAGAGAGGGGACAGTCAAAGAGAAGGTGATTTATCATCTCTTCTTCCGCACCACAGCGAGGACAAGCATTCTCCTCGCTAATGTGTCAGTAGACCAGTCGTTGACAAGTAGCCAAACAACCTGAAAGACACTGCCACAGCAGCATACATGCTTATTATATTAAGTTTGGTTTTCAAATTTAGTAACTCACATCATTGTGACACGTGTCAAGTTTAATCATTAGACATCTTGCCATGTGTGAAATATTTTTTTTGTTTTCAACAATATAAAAGTATTGGAAAATAACTACAGTGTAAGACAATTATATATTTTAAAAAAGTTTAAAACTATAAAGGTAATTCTAATCTTATTATATACACAAAATATTTGCTTGGAATAATTTTCAAAATGTTAGGTAATTAAAAGAATATTATTATTATTTTATAAACAATTGTAAGAAAATAGTTCCAATCTTATTTTATGAGCAAAACCTTATTAATCCTAATATGAAAAGGGTTATAAATACTCCTCTCAGCCAACAAAATAATTTCTAAAAACATACATTACTTTGACTATGGTTTAGTGGTAATTTTGTTTTGTTTGTTTTTTATATGTTACTAGGTAATGTCCCGCGCATTATTGTATAATAAGATAAAATAATTATTTTCGGTTTATTTACTAATTATAAAGCAGAATAAGTTAGATAAATTTCAACGTCAATAACATTTTTTACACTTTATTTATTCAAATCATACAATATAATCATACAGACTTATCTCTTGAACTTATTAGTTTATTTATTGTTCAATTTTGATAGTATTTTGCTTTCATATTTTTGAGTATTTTTTAGGTAAAAAAATAATACTATTAATGCTAAAAATAAAATTTAACTATGATAACAAAAAATTATTTTGTTAAAAATTACATACTTTTGAAAATAAAATAAATATACACGAAAATGGGAAAAAGAAACAAACATCCAAAGTAAAATGAATATGGTTTCTTTAGCTTCATTTTCTTATTTTGCAATGGTCGGAAATCAATATTTTTGAATCCCATCAATAAAATAATTTTCTTATTGCCATAAAATATTATTATACAGATGTATTATATATCTAAAAATATATAAAAAATAATGAAGAAATACATAAAACAAAGAAGAAGTAAAATTGAAAATAAAAATTTAAACCAAATAATTAATCAAACTCTTATTATGATATCTTAATTTACTTTTCATGCCATGCAAGAACTTTTTAAAAAAAATAAAGAAAATAATTAAGATAAGATATATAATGGAGGAGGATGTGACGATGGTTATATATAGGATAATAAGTTATGTAAGTCAATTTTCTAAAACAATTAAATTAGAAGAGTCATAATTATAATTTATAGTGTGTTAATTGAAATTTAATAAAGAAAACCAATAGTCTTTTTTCTTTTTGAAAACCAATAGTCAATTACATAAATTTTCAATTACATTTTAGTACTAATGTATGAATTTAATGTATACATTAATGTATATGATTAAATGTGTTTTTTGGTTTAATTAAAAATAAATATAATATTTTTAAAAATTAAATACCAAATGGACCAGTAAAATTCAAAATTTATAAATTTATAATGATCATTATATGATTAAATATTGAATCACAAACTAAATATAATTATCATTATGATTTTTTTAAATGTATTACAATTTTTTGGAAGCAAGAGATAGTTAAGAAAATTGATTTCATAATTATATAACAAAAATTTATTTTGTTAAAAATTACATACATTGAAATTAAAATAAATATACATGAATATGTGAGAAAAAAAACAAACATCTAAAGTTAAAGAATGAAGATGGTTTTTTTAGCTTGATTTTATTATTGTGCAATGGTTGGGAATCAATATTTTTGATTCCCATCAATAAAATAATGATCTTATAGTCATAAAATATTAATATACATATGTATTATACATTTAAAAATATAAAAAAAATCAATGAAGAAATGAAGAAGTCCATAAAAACAAAGAAGAAATAAAATTGAAAACAAAAGTTTAAACTAAATATTTAATCAAACTCTTACCATAAAAACTTAATTGAGTTTTCATCCTATACAAGAACTTTTTTTAAAAACAAAGAAAATGATAAAGATATGAGATATGGTGTGAGAATGATTAGTTATAGGATAAGAAGTGATGTAAGTTACATTTTTAAAATAATTAAATTAGAGGAGTAATAATTATAATTTATAATGTGTTTAATTGAAATTCAATAAAGAAAACCAATAGTCTATGAAAATTTATATAATTTTCAGTTACACTTCATTAATAAAGTGCGGATTTAAAATATGAATTAATGTATATGATTAAATGTGTTTTTTGGTTTAATTAAAAATAAATATTATATTTAAAAAAAATAAATACCAAATGGATCAATAAGGGGAGAGTGAAACCTTATTTTTATATATTCTTACAAAGATGAATTTAATTATATGTTTACTCATATTTACATATAACTTACAGTTTTGTAATACATATTAGTAGTAATTTATGCTACAAATATTTTTGAACTAATTAGTCTATTATGATAATCTTAGTTCTATAATATGAGATAATATTAGTTATATTTTTTCGCTGTTAATTATGTTTAATTAATGTTTAACTATTTGAATACTACGTAAAATATAAATTTGTTCTAATTCACATATTATTATAACATGAAAAAAATAATTCCTATCTATTAGGATTGAGTGCGCAGAATTAGATCTAATTTTATTATAATGTAATATACAGTTAAATTATATTTAAAGATGAATTGCAGAAACTATAAATTTGGGTTTTATATAGACATTATCAGATAAAATACAAAATTAATATTTGGATATTACGTAGACCTAAACTAGTATTTAAAATTGCATAATCTAATGTTTTAGATTGTTTAGTAAGGTAATTAAGAGTATACTGTATGTAGTATATATTAGATGATCACGTGTAAAAATAATAAATAAAAATTAGACGACACTGAAAAAATTAGAAATATAACTATTTTGATTTATTTGTATATTAGTTAATTTTTAATCAAAATTTTCTCACGCATTTTCAAATCTTTATTTTTTAAATTTTTTTATGTGAATGAGATTATATTGAAAGTGATTAAAAAGCTATAGTATTGAATAGTTTAGGGTAATAGCACTCTATGTACTCCAATAAATAAAAAATTAAGTATTTAACTTTAATGTTTTTAAAATTAGTTCTCTCTCATAGTTACTTTATCTGGACAAAAATACTCCTAGATATGGTAATAAATAGTTTAGCGAGATAACATAATAAATATCAATAAATTATAGACTCTTTTATCAATAATTTATACGTCATATATTTCTAACTTCTACAATATGATACAATGATTCAACACGATAATAAATGATTTATCAGAATAAATTCAAACTTACTATATAACTTATAATTTTATCGCGATACAATATCATTTATACTGTTAATAAATTATTTAGCATATTAAGTTTAACACTAAAAAATATTTAGCATATTAAGTTTATAAAGATGTGGTTAGAGTTTAGATTTTGTAATTAAAAGAAATTATATATTTTGGTTTGGGTTGACAAAATATTGGTTAGGGTTTAGATTTTGTAATTAAACGAAATTATATTTTGGTTTGGGTTGACAAAATATTGGCTAGGGTTTAGATTTTGTAATTAAACGAAATTATATTTCGGTTTGGGTTGACAAATAGTGGTTAGGCTTTAGATTTTGTAAATAAACGAAATATAATTTCGGTTTGGGTTGGCAAAATAGTGGTTTGGGTTAATAAATTTCTGCGATAACATAATATTAACATGTTTAAAATTTTGGTTTGGGTTTGGGTTTACATGATAACAGATTATTAACATGTACATTAATTAAACGAAATATAATTTTGGTTTAGGTTGACAAAATAGTGGTTATGGTTTATAATAATAAGAGGTGAACAAAAAGGTTCACAATAGGGGTGAAGAACCCAAGAATTGCTCTATATAATATTACTTAACATGTTATTGTTATTGTTGACATTCATTATTGTTTTGTATATATATATATATATATATATATATATATATATATATATATATATGGTATAGTAAATGAAATAACACGGTAACTTTAAATTTATCACATAAATAATAAATTATCGCGATACAAAACAATTAAACACGATATATTATAAACTTATATGTATATATTTATTGTTATCAAGATAATTCAATAGTTATTCATCTAACTTATAACATGATTTTACTTATGTATTTGATTATCAGTATCGTCGATAATTAAATTATTATACCACTAAATAATTTGTTAGATGTGAAAGGATATTTTTGTCCACTTATACAAATTGATGAGAGAGAACTAATTATACATATATGGGTATTATATTCTTAATTTTTGAGTCAACTGAGTATAAAATTTTAACTCACCCAATAGTTTAACCATTTAATCTATGTACGATTGTTGTAAATTTAATAAAATTTAGATCTAGATTATAACCTTTGTGATAAACATGCTAATTTATATATATATTTCAATAGGTTTTACAACAAACACATGTAAGTACTATGTTGAAATTTAATCAAACCAATTAAAAATTTAAGCATAAAAAGTTAGGATTTAAAATCTATAAAATATGACTTTAAAGATTCACTAAAATGTAACAAGAAGAAATATAAATAAAATTAGTAAAGATAAGTCAAAATATATATTTGAGTCAAAAATATATTGTAGTTAATATAACATATGAATTATGTTAATATGAAACTTCCATAAAATGAAGTACAAATTTACTAATTTTAAAAAATGAGTATCAAATTATTGGAATTGGGTTTATGATTGGTTTTCGCACAATGATGCGTCGATGACAGACTTCACCGATATAAGTGAATCTCCGTCCATCACGTAAACCATGAGAGAATGACGACATAAAGCATTATCAATGTTAAAAGTTGCAACGAGGTGAAGAAAACCCACCGCAAATGGTTATAACGAGCAAAGTTGACATTATGCAAATTAGGTTCCTTAGTTTTGTTTATATTTGTTTAAAACTTTTAAAGGCTTATTATTTAGATATTGCTTATTATTTATATATTACTAAATTGATGAGTTAAAAATTAATTAATTTATGATAGAAATTTTTTGAGAAATACCCCTTTTTAAAAATACCCCATTTATCTATCCATTTTCAAAAATACCCCTTTTTAAATATAAAAATTATAAAGTTTTATATAGTTTATAAGGTACTTCTATATAATAACTACTACTGGGAGATTCGATACAAATGTTTTAAAATGTTTTAAATAGTTTTAAATCGTTTTTATAAGTTTTATAAGGTTTTTAAAAGGTTTTTAAAAGGGTTTATACGGGTTTTATAAGGTTTTTATAAGGTTTTTATAATTTATTTTTACGCTATTTATGAAAGGTATATAAAGTTTTATACACATATAAATATAATTTGTGTACATATTTATAAGTTTACACACATATTTGGATAAATTTTAACATTTTTAGTGGTTTTTTTTATAAAGTTTGAAAATGGGGTATTTTTAAAAAGAGGTATATGAAAAGGGTACTTTTGAAATTCCCCCTTTATAATTAGCATATAATATATATCATACTTAGCTGATGAATTTCAACAATTGTTTAACAATAGCAAAAAAATTATAATTTATTTTTTAATCATTTGAAGTGAAACCATTTAATTATATATATATATATATAAGTTTTAAAATATACAAATACATGCATGTTTCGAAAAGCAAGGAAAAAATGTAAACTTCAGTGTAAAAAAAAAGTGATGCTTTAACAAAACAAAAACAGATTTATGAGAGGAGAGAGGAGGGACATTTGCATTGGGTTCCATTTTTTTATTATGAAAAAGGATTATAAATATTTATCATGTCCAAGTATATCAACAATATGTTGATATGTAGTCATCATCAGATGTTTTTATTTTGTTACACTGTTTTTTGGAATCAGATGTTGATCACCGTTGATGAATATTAACCAATTTTTTTTTTTTTCAGTTTTAATTTGAAAATAAATAAATATATATTCTATTCAGTCTTTTATGGTGTTACAATAATAAAACACATTGTAATGCACTGATTCTTATAAAAGTTAGTTTTTTATATATCAAAACTAATATAAAAGTGAAAATAAAATCATCACCAAATTATTTTCTGAAGATATTAAACTTTAAATTAATACCAAAAGATATTCCTATTATATATTAATTCAGTAAAGGGAATTGTTTATTTTTACATTGTCAATTGAGAAAGATACAAATTTTTATATGATTTTTTTAATTAAGTACCAAGAAGACACATAAATGAGAAAACATGGTTCTTAATCTGTCCACCCGGCATGAGCACACAATCTATTAAACTTAGACGAAATGATGATAATTTTGATATTCTCCCCATAATAGATAAATCAAACTGTAGAAGCCAAAATATGAAAGACTGACAAAGCTATAAGCCTTTCACGTAAGAGCATCCTCAATGCTAGGTTATTAAAAATGAATCTTATGATTTGTTTAGTAATTGAATTGAAAAAGTGATGTTAAGAAGTGTAATTAAGTTTTTATGTTTTAATGCAGGATCATTGGTGTGTTCTTAATTAGTGGATCTTTAGGATTAAAACAAAAAAAAATTAAAAAATTAACAATTTAATTTTTGAAAACTTAATAATTATTGCAAAATAAAAATTTTAAAACATAGATGAGATACAATTTATTGCATAAGTAACATATAGACAAAGCACAATTAATTTAAACATGATTTGTAGAATATTTTGACCAAATCGTTTTTCAATTGTTCATGCATAACTCGATCACGTTTTATATGAAAGAGAGAGAAACAAAAATGTTTTATATATTTTTCATACCACCCAATCAGAGAGTACCACATATAAGCCTAAGGATCAAGCATTGTAAACCTTATATAAGGTACGTATCTTATAAAATTTGTTGTATTATGCATTTAATTTTAACCAAAATTAGCTTAAGAGAACACTAAGACGTCTAAAACGGTTAAGTACACAAAGTCCTTGGTCACATCTCCTCAGTGTAAACATGTGAGAGCACAAACATTTCATGAGTCATGTGAGAGCGGCTAGATGGATGAAACAATTCAATTGTTGTCTTTGATGTAGTTTTACCACTTTGGTTAATGAGTTCTAAATACAAAAACTCAACCTAACAATTGTGTTGTATCAAACAACAGAATCTTTAACCCATGTACTCACTCTACCTTACATCACATAAAGCCTACCCACGCAAAAACTCCTCCTTTCAAATAAAACTGAGCGAATCTTTTTTGGATCCGTTGGTCAGTCAACATCAAACATTATCTTCCATTTGTACATCATCTCAAGTTTTAGAATGGTCAAAACTAAAGCTTTAACCAAAAAAAAAAGAGAGTACATTTTTATATTTATGTCCAATTCAACTAACCCAAATACACTGCTCACGTCTGTATTTTAACCCAACAATGGTACACATTAAATGCTTCATCTTTTTTCAAAAATTCCCCAACTTCCTCCAAAATTTTCACATAAAAATCACAACTTTTGATGCTACAAACCATTTTCATAAGCAAATCCCAAATACAGTAAAACAAATTTTCATACGCCCATAAGAAAACAGAGATACAGAGAGAGAGAAAAGGTTGAAACTTTGACAATAGTATCGAACGAACCGATTGATTCCTTCCTCTCATCTCATCATTGTTCCCTCAGGTTTACTCCTTTGACCCAATCTTTAGGTTTTCGGATTTGGGTAACCAAAAAGGTTTCGCCTTTTTCGCTTCTTTTGTGAGTTTGTGACACATATATTAGATTTTGATTTCTGGGTGTTGTTCTTTGTATTCGATTAGCTCTGTTTCAATCATAAAGGTTGAATCTTTATCAAATGACGACCAGTTTCGATGATATTTTGGTCTCTTCAAGACAACTCCTTTTGCTTGCTTCGATTTGTTGCGGTGCTCTCATGTGCAAAATCGTAAGTCTTTTGAAATCTTTAGGTCTATGGTGATGATGATGATGATGATGCAGGAATCTTGAATTTGTTGTTTTGGTTTTTGTGTTTTTTGAAGGTTTATGACTTGACTCGTTTCATTAGTCCATTGCTCTTTGGTGTTTATGGAAAACTCGACAGCAAAGTTAGAATGGAATGGAACAATAGGTTTGGATTTTCCCTGATTTGGAGTTTTTGATCTTCTTTTGTGGATTGTGTTTTGAGGAGCAAGTGTTTTGTTTGATACTTCTTACAGGGGATTCTCAACCTTTCATGCTGTTTTAACTTCTGTGGCTTCAATCTACCTCTTGGTGATATCAGATCAGTTTGATGAGAATGTTCATGGTGATGCAGTCATCAATAGTACAACGAGGTTATCGGAATCTGTAATGGGGGTTAGTTTCCAAGATAGTCTCTCTAGAATTGCAAGAACTGCTAGTGAGAGTCAGCGATGAGATTGTCTCTTATGTATTTGGTCTTTTTGTAGATCTCTTTAGGCTATTTTCTATCAGACTTGGCAATGATCTTTTGGCATTTCCCTGCTCTTGGTGGTATTGAATACGTAAGGCATCATATAAGACTTTCCATATTTGTTTATGAACGTTGATAAGAGTTAGCATTTAATTCCGGTTTGGCTGAATGGGTTGGTGTTAGCTAATGGAGCTTTCTTTTGTTACCTGTTTAAGGTTTTTCATCACTTCTTATCGATGTTCGCCATCATTCTTTCTGTCACAAGTGGGCAAAGTCAGTTCTACATATTCATAGTTCTCTTATCAGAGGCCACAACCCCATTTGTTAATCTGCGGTGGTAAGCTTTTTGTGAATTTAGAAAGTCTCTTCTTGAACACTGTTATTGGTTATTAGAATTATGCCTCTAAACATCAGTTGTGGTAATGGCAGGTATTTGGATACTAGTGGTCAAAAAGGCTCTAAGGCTTACACGCTCAACGGGATTGCCTTGTTCTTGGGTTGGCTGGTACTGTTAAATAGACCAAAACAAATCTCTGTGTTTTAGCATTGAAGAAAGATAAACCAAATGTCTCTGCTTTTTTATATATAGGTTGCGAGGATCCTATTGTTTATCTACTTCTTTGTTCATATGTACCTCCATTTCCATCAGGTAAGTTCAATCCCTGAGCTTGATGAGTGAAACAAAGCAGAGAGAAAGATACAATATAGAGACATGAATCTAACAAGCTGGCTTTGCGCACGCAGGTGAAGCAAGTGTTTCCGCTAGGATTTTACAGCCTTCTTACGATACCACCGGCTCTAGCAGTGATGAATCTCATTTGGTTCTGGAAAATCACAAAAGGAATGATCAAAACACTCTCCAAGGCAAAAACATCAGGAATGAAGAAACAGTGATGGCTAGAAAGATTTCCAATTGCATTCACTTTGATCTGTCCATGATAAATTGGTTGATATTCATTCTGTGATTGTCTTTTGATACCTTTTGGGTTTATGAACAAGGATATGTATATTCAAAACCTTTCAGCTGTTTCTTAGGTATTCAACTTGTAAATTTAGAATTAGAATCAGTGTTTCACGTCACTCAAAATTCGATGATGCTACTCTTACCACAAATCGCAGAACGGTTTATGTTTGGTTTGGTCTAAATCGGCTAGTAAACGAATAGCTTAGTACTTAGTAGTCATCCAGATTTCTTTTTGAATCAATTATAGATTTTCCATTTTTTGTGATGCGATTTGTAGATTTGCTATTTTCTCTAAAATCTTTAAGTTTTTGCCATTTTTAAGGTTATAAAAATACGATTAACCACACATATGACCTACTACTAAGAAAAAAAAAAAACTAAACTTAACTTAAATTTATAGTCAAAGACAGATAGTTAAAGCTTTATCTTGTCTAAGAAAATCATGAAAATTGTAAAACATTATTCTTCATTTTCTAAAAAATAGATAATAATCAATGACCACATTATTCATAAGTTCTACAACAAAATTTACACGGATTACACAGTGAAATATAAGCTGTTTAAAACAAAGTGATATGTATTGTGTAGCATATTTCAAGAGAAAAATATTTTCTCAAGTAAACTTCGACTTTATAACATGATCATTTTTTTTTTGGGGTATTTCATAAATTGAATCATATGCTTTTAATTCAAAAATGTATTGAAAGATAGTAATAAAGAAAAAAAATGGTTATGATATATTTTGAAAATCAATTCAGAATCCAATATATGTTATATGTGAACTAATATAAAGTGAAAAAGTAGATGTCGAGAGATAACAAGTGCAACATAGATAATGAGAAAGAATTGGTAGTTAAACGTGTTTGAAAATAATTTATTAAAACTTGGAAAGATAATAATACACATGACTAAAGTAAATATCTTTGAAATCCCATTAATTCATTGGATGAAAGGAATCAGGATTTAGAAGAATACGTGGCATACAATATTAAACAAATTATTACATTCTAAGCCTAGTTTAAACGTTTGGCCATGTAATCATGAAAAATGAGAAAAGATAGGTACATTCATGATTTAAATGATTATATTTGCGTTCAACATTCGTATTGATAGGAGAGGTTTTATATTAAAATCTCGCTCATACAAAATCTAGATTTAAGATTAAATTTTAGAGAAAACATATTATTTTCCCGAAATTCTTTCGCATAAAGTTTAGTGAAACAATTGTTAAAATGATTTATACACGAATCGTTCGTACTTTTCCATAACGATCATATATCTTATTTTGTTTCAAATCTTGACATCCATTTAAATAATCAATTTTTTAATAAATGGTTACATATGGTGATAGTTATTATGTAAATATAAAACCAAACACATAATTAATATAACCTAAAATAGACAAACATAAGGAAGTTGTGAGCGAACAGATACGCTCCAATCTCCATCACATCATCCTTTTAAAGGGAATTCAGGGATTAAGCTGTATTCAAAATTGAGAATGATGAACTTGTAATTCAAGTAATCCCAATACAATTTTATATTATCACCTTTCTTTAGACCTAATGATTTCCTTAATTTGGTCCAACCCATTCCCAAAAAATAGTCTTTGGAGGAGTTCCTGGATTTTAAGAAAACAGAGTATGAATTGTTTTGAGTGATGTCTAGAACTTCGAGTTGGATACCCTTTAGCAGACTTTTCTTCGTAATATCTTTCATCTTCTTAAAGATTAAGAGTATTTGGCTTCTCGGTAAAAGCAAGCGTCCATGTTGGTCAACATCGGTGGGTGTTAGCGTTTTTGATATGATCATATCACCATCTATTCTGAAGTCTTCCATCTTTAAATAACCAAAATTATATGGACAGGCTTGTAGAGATACTGATAACTAACTATGCTATATAGGCTATATATATAGTTCTAAATAAATTTTACTCTTTTAGACTTTCTTTTTTCTTTCCTTTAAATAGCATAAAATGATTAGTTTTAATTTCTCCAAATTTACTAGATTATCAAATATTAATTATGAGATTTCCTCTACCAAACACATTATTATATATAGTTCTAACCCCAATTAATAAGACACATAATACTTATATTTTATTTAATTTATATTATTTGGCAGGGAGTTAAATTTATGTTTCAAACCTTTAAATGCATATAATATTTATGTATCTTTATCAAAAAAAAAAAATCTTAGGTTACTAAGGTAAATATTATATTACATTTATGAGATTAAATGATGGATAGAAAGAAACTTTTAGGAGATACCAGACTTCTCTCATCTATATCTTGTTCCTAAATAATTACTAAAGAGAGAAAAGTTAATTCTAAAAGAAGAAATAAAGAGAAAAAATAATAACCTAACATAAGATCAGACTCATAATTAAAAAATTGCAAAAATAAATAAAGAAATAAATATATATATATATATATATACTTACACTCATATTCTGTTTTTTAAAAGAAATCACACAATTAATCACTGTAATATCCGTGTCTGAAATTTTGGTGATGTCGACCGACACCAGTGTTGGGTGTCGATCGACACCAACAAAATTGGGTTAGACGGTTTAGCTTTTAAATCGTCGGTTTGACTCAATTTCGGTTTGGGAGCAACCCTAGGTCGACTTAAACTAAAGCAGCCATCTTTCTTCTTCACTTTTTGGTGTTTTGACGCTTTCTAAAAGAGAGAAGAGAGAGCTGTGAGTGAAGGTGGATCCTAAGGTGCTAAAGTGAGGCTTGTTAGAGGTTTCTGGAGGCTGTTTTCCAGTGTTCGAACAAGGGATCAGTGGGATTCGTGGTTGTGGGTGTGAAGAGAAGTTGCTGGAGTGTTCTTCTTCTCTGTTTCGTCATCCTTCGAATCCAAATCAGCGGTGAGTGCGTGACTATGGCTTATCTAAGCGTTAAGATTGCGTGATTTGTGTTTATGTGATGTGTGAATTGAATCCTTTGTGTTTGTGATGTTTTTTTGGTGTTTGTGTGGCCTTGTGTGATTGTTATTGGGTTATTTCATCGTGGGAGGTGTTGTGATGGTGCTATTAGGATTCTTGGGTGGCTGAGATCGTCGTTGGATGCGTTTGAGGGTGTGGGTGTCGACCGACACCAGTTTTTAGTAGACTCGACCGACACCAGTTTTCTGTGAGCGTAATATGTGCTTTTGTTTTCCTGTTTTGGCTTTTTGTGACAATGTTGATGTATGGTTGTGATCTTAAATGCTTGTGTGTATAGCCTAGTAGATGGGAGGATCGCTTCACTAAGTATTTGTGATAATACTCACACATCTTATTGTGTTTGTGGTGCATGTAAAGTGTGACGTGGAATCATGGCAATAAGGAGGAGGATGATCTAGGGTCTCAGTTGTTATGTTTATGATTAAGTTAATTGTTGTTGGAACCTGGGTTAGAGGCATGATAGGTTGCTGGTGTAAACTGCGGGTACTGAATGATTAATTGATGTTGGTTTAATATATTTCCGTTGTGCATGATGGTTTGGCTAGGTTAATTAGTAGGTAACTAGGTATGAGACTATTGATTAATGAAAAAAAAAAAAACGGGTCGGGTATTTTCAATCACTTTCCAAAGTTTGGCAGATATGGGGAAAATATTATGCTACTATAGCCTTCAAAAGTTTCATTAATATCTAAAATGCCACCTAACTAAATACAAATTACATTCACTCTCCGAGCGCAAGGCTATAATGCTGTTTCGTAGGAAAACCAATATGGCATGTCATTTTGTAATCTGAGTGCCACTATAAATGTGATATTCATAAATTACCCTTAATGATATTACAAAAGAAATGGTACGACTAAGACAAAACTGGACTGGTAAAAGTGGTATAACCAAGAGATAATAGTGCTCTCATGTGCAAAATCATAAGTCTTTTTAATATCTTTAGGTTTATGATGATAATGATGATGCAGGAATCTTGATTTTGCTGTTACTTGTGTTTTGTTTTTTTGTGTTTTTTGAAGGTTTATGACTTGACTCGTTTCATTAGTCCATTGCTCTTTGGTGTTTATGGAAAACTCGACAGCAAAGTTAGAATGGAATGGAACAATAGGTTTGGATTCTCCCTGATTTTGAGTTTTTGAACTTCTTTTGTGGATTGTGTTTTTAGGAGCAAGTGTTTTGTTTGATGTTTCTCATAGGGGATTCTCAACCTTTCATGCTGTTTTAACTTCTGTGGCTTCAATCTACCTCTTGGTGATACCAGATCAGTTTGATGAGAATGTTCATGGTGATGCAGTCATCAATAGTACAACGAGGTTATCGGAATCTGTAATGGGGGTTAGTTTCCAAGATAGTCTCTTTAGAATTGCAAGAACTGCTAGTGAGAGTCAGCTATGAGATTGTCTCTTATGTATTTGGTCTATTTGTAGATCTCTTTAGGTTATTTTCTATCAGACTTCGCAATGATCTTTTGGCATTTCCCTGCTGCTGGTGGGATTGAATACGTAAAGCATCATATAAGACTTTCCATATTTGTTTATGAACGTTGATAAGAGTTGGCATTTAATTCCGGTTTGGCTGAATGGGTTGGTGTTAGCTAATGGAGCTTTCTTTTGTTACCGGTTAGCTAATGGCTGAATGGGTTGGTGTTAGCTAATGGAGCTTTCTTTTGTTGCCTCTACATCAGTTGTGGTGATGGCAGGCATTTGGATACTAGTGGTCAAAAAGGGTCTAAGGCTTACACGCTCAACGGGATTGCCCTGTTCTTGAGTTGGCTGGTACTGTTAAATAGACGAAAACAAATCTCTGTGTTTTAGCAGTAAAGAAAAATAAACCAAATGTCTCTGTATTTTATATATAGGTTGCGAGGATCCTATTGTTTATCTACTTCTTTGTTCATATGTACCTCCATTTCCATCAGGTAAGTTCAATCCCTGAGCTTGATGAGTGAAACAAAGCAGAGAGAAAGATACATTTTAGAGACATGAATCTAACAAGCTGGCTTTCCGCACGCAGGTGAAGCAAGTATTTCCGTTAGGATATTACAGCCTTCTTACGATACCACTGGCTCTAGCAGTGATGAATATCATTTGGTTCTGGAAAATCACAAAAGGAATGATCAAAACACTCTCCAAGCCCAAAACATCAGGAATGAAGAAACAGTGATGGCTAGAAAGATTTCCAATTGCATTCACT